GCAAATGGTGATGACATTGATGCATCTGTCCTCCAATTGGGCATCAGTAGGAACCAATTAAAAGAGCAACATTTGATAACATAACCAGCTTCCCCATGGAAGAACTAAAATGATGGAAAATTTAGTATTTGATTCCTAACTCCCGCATTACAGAATTTTTACCATCAATGCAGGATCAAAATACCTAAAAACCTCTTAGTTCTGGTGCATGAATTTATAAAATAAATTTTATTGTAAGTGGCTGATACAATCTTTTACAGTGTATTTATAGAAAATAGGTATGGTTAATATTTACTTCTGTCTACCATGCCTCCAGGAAGTTTCCAATGCTTTTTTCTACTGTATCTCTCACAGACAGCTAATACCTGGTTCTTTTCATTGATTACAAGCCCACCAGCTCCTAAAAATCAACAAGATACTGGTCTAATCTTTTACTCATCCACTGTGTCTGCTTGACAACGGAGTAATTTAACTTTCAAGAATAAAAAAGACTGTTAGCTATTTCAACAAAAGCAAATATGTCATTATGAACATAAAGTCAACTCTCTTTCAACCCTGTTAGTCCCAAGATTTGAGAACTCATTTTCCCAACAAATGACCACATATTTCTTCATTAGCAGTGCTGAGTATTTGGTGTTGGATCAATTAATAATTTCTTAATTCATGTTACCTACCGGCCTAAAAATGTATTAAAACTTAATGGAGAATGTATTCATTGATCACTCCTGGAGGTAAAAGTATTAACTAGACACCTTATAGACTGGCACCAGCATTGTCTCTAGAGTTGAGATATTAATTGCCATTATGCATAACATTACTACAATTTATAACAATTGATAAAGAAAAGGAAAAGAAGATTAATGGTGAGGAAACCTCATGAAAACCAAAAAGGCTTGTAAGCTTAGGTTCCTTCAGAGGTAGTAAAAGATAACAATATAAATAACAGATATATAAAATAATGTGTTGACAGTAATATATAGATACATACTATAGCAAGTCATATGCTTTTTTGCAGCAAAATGCAGGGCACACAATTTCCACTGATTGAATTTAGTCTTTCTCTAGTCTCATAAAAGGTCCAGTTCAGAATTTTTCAAACAAAATTCCCTACGGCTGACAAATTACAAAACTTGTACAATGAACAAACAAAAAACAGCACAAGACATACCAAGGTAGCTTGTGGCAAAGGTTGGCAGAGTGTTTGGTTCATCTTTGGGAAGCCAGTGAGTTAAAACAATGTAGGTTGGATAAGTATGGTGAAATTGGAAACCATGCTTGGAAAAAAAAACAAACACAAACAATTTATTATGTTTGTAATAATAACACACTTAAAGCTAACAGGTCAATTTTGTATTATCAACTGAATTGATAATTTAAATTGGAAGACAAATGTTTGTTCTAGAATTTTGTGGCTTTCTGAACTGTCCAGGGATAAGGAAAGGCTGCAAACTACCACTAAAAGCTAGTTAATTGGTTTGCAGTAGATCAGGTTGGAAATGAGTCCACTCTAGCTCAAATAGAGGCATTTAGAGCTGGTGGCTCAAAGGTAAAGTGACAGGTGAATTATAAACCTAAGCCAACCTACTCATTCTTCCTCAGCCAAGTACAGTTTCAGAGGCATGAAGAGACAAGATGTACTGCTACTGCTTCTAGATGCAGTGTTAGTCCATTGCAGATTACATTCCCCCCTGATTTAATCAAGTTCATACCCTTGACATGCAATTGCCTGAATTTTTCTGCATGTATGACAAATGTTTAACACAGAGATCTCATGAATATGAGAATAAGGCCTGAAAATACTTCAGGGCTGTACAGGATTTGAATCCATAACCTCTGAGTTACCCATGCAGTGCTATACCAACTGAAATAACAAGCCAACTAGGAGTGGGTCTTTATTTAGGTTCATAATAAACCTGTGGGGTGATAAATCAATAACTTTTAATATGTGAACTATGCTCTAATACATGAATATGAAAGCAATCTTCGCAATGAACACTACTTAAGCAGTAGTGAAAATATGACCTGGAAAAAATTCAGGTCTGTACAGGATTTGAACCCATGACCTCTGTGATACCTGTGCAGTGCTCTACCAACTGAGCTAACAAGCCAACTGGGAGCTGGTTGTCATGTTGGTGTCTCAATAACAGGTGCTCTCTGTTGATCTATCCCTGCCTCTAATACCTCTCACCATCCTCTGTTTAGCTGGCAAACAGGTTCTAGTGTTTGGGTTTGGCTTACAGCCCCTTCTCAGGCACAGCCATTATTATTACAACATTAGCAGATACTTAAGGAAAATGTTATGGAAACCCCTGTTGTTCATTCTTTACATTTAATACTATATAATTATAGACATTATAACTTACCTTTACAGCAATTGGAATAAAAGTGGAATTCTCTATTGATATTCTAAGCCAAACTCCCCTAATACCACACTGCTTGAATTTTTCCAGTGATACTAAAATGAAGTTGAAACCAATTGAAATTAATAATCAATTCACTGAACTAAATTAATACAATCCTTCAGAAATAATGAACTTACAAGCAAGTTTTCTTTCAAAGTCTTCATTACTTTCACACTTCTCCACATCTGTGTTGATTGTTATTCCACCAAAGCTACAAAAAAGTGTGCAATATTATCACAACTATATCACTCAAAAACATTTCTTTAAAGAATAATATTTCCTTTCCCATGTAATACAGTTTATGTACATATTGACTGAGTGTGTGTGTGTGTGGGTGTGTGGGGGGGGGGTATGGAGGGGCTGAGGGGAAAAGTATTTGCCTTGAAGTTATCATGAATAGGCTAGGTGGTAAGAGCTGTCCCAAAATTCTTCCTTTACACCCCTATTCTGAGATAACAGAATTTCACCTTGACAAGGACTTGTATGACATTTTTCTTCTGTGATTCAGTTTTATTGTGGATTAAGGTAACCAAGGACTGTAGTGGTGTTGCTTCATAAACCTTCATGATTGGTAAAGGAAACCTACACCACATATTAAACCACACACTAAACCAATTTGTCATGCAGAACTAAAACCAGTCATGTTTTGCTCATGTTTTGGTCCCCCCCCCATTTTATTCTAGGATCTTCTTTCTTCTAAGATATTTTCTGTTATTGTGACTGGCTGCTGTGATACAAGTTTTACAACATCCCATTGAAAGGGACTCGATTATATTTTGTCAACAAGAGCCAGGGGTCCTTGACTTTTATTTATGGATAGTTATTATTTATAGTTATTTTATTTATAGTCGGGTGAAAATTAGCAAGGTATTCTGCGTGTGTTACATAACAAGAATAACTCCAAGAACAGAAACAGCAGAATTTTCTTACGCCCGTAGTGCAGACACACCACTACTATGGGAATCCTGTGCATCAATCACTCCTTGGTCAACCCGCTTGGAAAACAGCCTGTAATCCCCTCAATCGATCTCATAACCATCACTCAGTAGGTATCATTTTGACCGATAAATGATCGAATTGCTTATAATCTTAGTCGTTTAGTTACGAATTAGCAATCTTTACTTACATATCTTTGATCCCCTTGAATTCATCTTCGCTGAATGATTCATTTGTAGAGGTATCCAAATAACCTTCGGCGTTAACCGCCTTAGCTGAGCTCATCGCAAAACCAACTGCAAACCAAAGACCTGGAATAATCTGGAATCAACTGGAAATCTAGGTCAACTCGCCGGCTGACATGCAACTAGTTTTCATTCATGTAAGCCAATACATAGTGTCCAAGACAACACACGGTAATAGGTTGCCTTAGACACGTTGAGAGAGAGAGACTATCGGAGAGACTCAAAAGTCACGTTACATCTGAAAATAGTCGGAATGGACGTTAGTACTTCCTCGAGGTTGAAAGTTTAAAAAATGAACAATGGGCCTAGATAAGAACCGAATGGTGAATATCTGGGTTTGAAAAGTCCGGAAGAATGAATTACAGAGTCATGTTACTCGCTACGGTATTAATAACACTGACACTAAAAATGAACTCCCTGCAACATCTCAAGCCAAATTAAGTATAAAAAAGGAACAATTTCTTCGAGACCTGTCTAAAATCCCCCGAGCCCCCTTTTGTGTTTTATTTCAGCCAATATCGCGTTTACTAAATTAATGCCTCGGACAGGCTACTAATTTCTTGACTTAAACTATATGGATTAGTTTAGCCTTAACTGATATGTTCGGCAAGGATCAGTACCTTTCTGAAGATACAACAGGAGCTTTCCAAAAATGTCCCAGAGATATTGAATAAAAGGGGGTAAGTTTCTAAAGAAACTGTGGTACCGCGTCCGTGGGAGAGTACAACAAGGTAGTTGGTTTTATGAACTGAGTTGATAACGTGAATTAGCCACCGTAAATAGTTTCAAAGCTGATGTTTCGGGCGCTAGCCCCTCGTCAGCCCTTGAAACGTCAGCTTAGAAACTCTTAATGGTGGCCAATTTACGTTATCAGCTCAGTTGATAATACCAAACTTCCCTGAGAGATTGTTGGTTCTTTTTTGGTGGTCCGTTTCTCGGCTGGCATGCGCTATGGGCTATCAATGTTTAATTTGCAAAAAGTAACTAATCACGTAATTTTAAAAACAAGTTTTAAGCGTAGTTTATCTAATTTTCTTCGCGGTACAGTTTTAATACCTCTTTTATATTCTCCGACTTATTTCTGTTTATACAGACTCTCTTGACAAAATTATGTTGTAAAGAACCATCGCCAGGCAGATGGTGTCAAAAGGGGTAACAGCTGCTGACTGCAATGTTCAGATCGCTAGAAGCGGAGTTCGCCTCAGTAAGAGCAGAGAGGAGCTGAGAAGATAGATGCATAACTATTAGCGGATCCAGTTTGATTTAGCGCCAAATTCTCAGAACTTAAATAATGAGAAAAAACCCTACGCAACGCAGAGAATCAGTTAAAATTTAGATCTCGGGAGTGAATAGATTTAGCACATTTCAAATAGAACTAAATTGTCATGGCATTAGAAACTACGTTCATGGAACAGAGCCGTCTTCTCGGTGTTTAATCAAGTACCGTAATCGGCGACACTTGTTACTTACCTAACTTCAAATATTTTATTTTCTAATAAAAGGAAATAAACGTCAGTTAAGTAAAGAATATATTCACCTTGACTCGCTCTCTTCTAAAGAAACGAGCCAATTGTAATTATGCCATCTTATGGCGTCACTAACCAAAAAAATGGTAGCAATTTCGACTGACAGAGTGCGTTACCGCGCTTTTTAATAACATGCCGACACTGGAGTTCATGTTGCAACCAATATTCAGCGTAAGGGGCATCGACGAACAGAGACGAGCAAAATAGATGATGACCCTCCAATCACCACAAGAGAACTTGATATTGTCTTCACGAAAAACATTTTCAAAGATGAATCTTTTAACTCCACTGTTCGTATGCTATTGAAAAGCTAAGTGCGAAAAAAATCAAAAGAACAAAGACGAACAAAATTACTAGCATCTGACAGGGGCATACTTTTTACCGTCTTTCAAGCGAGCTTAGGCGAGCGCGACGCGAGCGTGCGGATGGCGTGGGCGGCGAGCGCGAAAAGATGCTCCTACATTTGCACGTGACTAATCCCTTGCGCTTTCCACGCGCCCGACTCGCACTCGCTTGAAAACCATAAAATGACGCCTGCTCTGCAGGCTAACAAAACAATTACGAGGGGAGAAACAGGAAGGACGCCCAAAATTCTGACCCTAATAGTACGAATTAGTGTAGACATGTATTGAAAATTTCGATTACGTATCTTTGGTCAAAATTCTGAGAAAGAGTGGCTTCTCTCGCATTCGTCACTCTTACCATTACTACAGTAAAGGCCAGCATTACGTACCAGGCAAAACAAGGCCGAAAAATTAAACTAAAATCTGTCCACCAAACAACAAATATTGATGAACGCCCTTTTACGTGAAAGCGGATATGTAAATTTAACAAAAATCTTTCAGTGCGATTTGCACGACGAAACTAACCTACCAAATAATTTACAAATAAAGGAGACAGGATATGGAACGCCTAAATTGCCTCTGTCAAGAAGATTTCTTCGCAAGCTTAGTGTACTAGTTGAACAAGAAACACAGTCTTATCTAATTAATTCATTTTCTCAGAGAGCGCCTTTCGACTGAGTGTCGTTAAACCAAATCAAATTAATTATCACGAAGGTAAATACCACGAGGGACCAATTCAGAGTTCAAAGGAAATTCATTTCCGGTGCTGAGGCGTCGGAAACGAGAGTGAACTGAGTCGCCATGTTTCAGTCTTACATCTGATTGATCGAGGGAAAAGCGCAAGTTTTCTTGATGTACCAATTACGCAGCGAAAGTAAAATTAGTGAAGCCTCGAATTGCGTTCGACACTCATTGAAAACTGCTCCAGGGGTTTTAAATGACAAACACTGTTACCTAAAGAGCCCACAGATAGGCGTTTGCTTATCATGATTTTTAACGATTTCGCTTGTACGCACGTGCGGTTCAAAGTACCGCTTAAATAATTTAACGTATTTAATCTTATATTTATCTGTACACTTTTTACACCACAAATTTTGATTCCGTATGCCAAAATAGAAGCTTTTCTTCGCCTGTTCCAAGCGTACAGTTGGTACACAACGCCGCAATGAAAACCGGTGCCAAATAGTACCCAGTCCCTCCTCTTTTTGCTGGCTTCATTTTGCGTCTCTCTATTGGTTCAAGCGCATCGTTGTTTTCTTGACTGAACGCCGGGAACAGGTCATGTTTTTCTTTACATGATTAAAATTGGTTCTTGCTGAGTATCGGGAGTAAGCGCTCTAGTTAATGCAGGAACACAGTTACTTGGAATAAGGCAACCTACGAGAGAAAAAAAACAAGTTCAATCCCCAAACTTTATCGAACAAAATTTGCAAAAGTAGCTATCGCGTTAACCGTTTAACTTAACCCTTTAACTCCCAGATCAAATTTGTAACTTTCCTTGTTGTCAACCATACAGTTCTAATAATGTTAGCTCAGAGAATTTAGTATTGGTTTAACTGATTTTCCCCAAATTGATATTTTTCTTTATTCTCATGACTCATCTAGTTGATATTGTATTGATATTGTAAGGAGAAATTCTGTCTTGGTCACTCATGGGAGTTAAAGGGTGAAAGAAGTGATTGTGACTCACAGGCAACTTCTTAAATTTTCGATACATAAGCTTTCTTGGGATTGATATCTGGGTTTTTCGGAACTCGGCAGGGACAGTAACAATATTTGTTCAATTCAGGGAAAGAACTCTCGTTAATTTATCTGACGATAAATTCGGCATTAACATAACAGCATTCGAATTGAACAAAGAAGGTTGTTTGAACGTTTTAATTAGTCAACGTGAAATCTGAAGCCAATTGCATTCTCCATCCTGCAGATCACCAGGGTTCAAAAAATTCAAGAGTCAAATTGGACAGCCGCGGGGTTGTCAATTCCCCTCAAAACCAGAATTTCATCAACAGCTTTCTCGTCGGCTAAACCACTAAAAGAAAGTGAAATTAGAGTCATTTAGACTTACCAACTATTCGAGATCCATCGCTCTTTCTGCAACGAACAATCTGTATTTTGGAGTTTGCACCAGACTGACCAGCTAAGACACTTTCCACTTTACTCCAAACGCTTAGCACCGAGCCGCTCAGGATGTGGAACGTACGCTGTCGCCTGCCCACCTCACAGCTCAAACCAAGAGTCATTCGTTTACAGTTACCCTTCCTGCAAAAAAAAATAATAATAACAGTTATAATAATTTCTCTTTTGAGAGGAATCGACCTGAGGTGTTTAGTCAAGTACACAGCCACTCGATTTAATATTTTCATTACCAGCGTTCTCCACAATGGAATTTCCCTTTATAATGTCAATACATTATGGGATGGCTATTGTAACGTACAGTTCTGGTGACGTCTTGGCCAAATAAAGCAATAAGCATGTGTTATAAAGGGCCAATCGCATTCCAAAAGCGTGTTAATTTACACTTCGAAGGTTGTAAAATGTATCTGGATCAATCATTTTGCTCCCTCTAATCATTACTATTCAGCCTCAGTTTGCAGCACTAGAGCCACTCTAGTTTAGCTCGCGCTTGGCCATTTAGAACATGGGCCCTTGGCAAGGATTCTTATAAGACTTTGTATACTCACCAGTAAGCGTGGTTGCACTGACTGAGGGCTGATTCGTACTGATCTACCCAACTACTCTGAGCCTCATGGTCTAATACCTTAAAAAAAAAAAAAAACGGAAGGTTATTTACTTGTGGATGAATTATCATCGATAGTTTCAGGAAGAAATCACTTCTGATGTGGATCGCAAGGTTTCAACTGCATGCTGCCGTTCTTCCCTTCTATAGCATGAAGACTGGTAGAAGGCAGTCAAACGTCGCGATTCACATTCAAAGTGACTTTGTCGTGAGGCAAACAATAAATACCTTTTAATAAGCGAGTTTGAGGTCCGTACTGAAAGTTACGGACCGAGTTTTTCCACCGAAACGCGCAGGCCATAAATCCTCGCGGGAAAAACGAGGTTCCGCAACTCATAGTGGGGGACCACTCGCATTTTCCCGCGCTTCACACCGCTAGCTGATGCTGATGACGTAACAAGATTTGGACAGACGAGAACACGTGACTGGTTACCTTTTTGTACTTTTTCTTGACGTCTTCCAGTGTGTCCTGTTTTGTTTGCAGGCCAGTATTAGGTCTGTACACATTGATCACATCCTTCTTTTTGCTTCGAGACTGACACATGACCAAGATTGCAGTTTTCTTATGATTCCGCACCTGGTTCAAAATAATTATGTATATTTTGCAAAGTTAGTTACCTTAGGTTACTTTCACTTTTATATTCCACCATGGTGTGTTCGTAATGGCCTTAATGGTGCACTTAGGTTTGAGCCAGGTACCTACTGAGTGTCCAAAGAAATGCATCGGTTTTAATTCACAACGCTCTGTGATTGGTCTAAAAAACTCACGCCACCCTTACAGCCAATGATACAAAACTAAACCAGTGGTGCCTTAGTCACTTGCCTTTTCCCGCGCTTCAGGCAGTTTGCTTGTTTTTACTCTAACTGCTCTTCTGATTGTCCACCGGAATAAACTCCGGCTTAGTTTTTACGAGGCTCAACTGAATTACGCTCTATTACAATAATTTTCCTTTTCCAGTTTGACGAGGTTGCCGTTCCCCGTATCGAAATGGCATCCGTCTGGGCAAATATCAACTGCATTCTCAACTCAAAGTTTCTTGCATAGTTCTTTTCGCTGTTCATGCCCATGTAAATAGCTACAGCAGCATTTAGAGAAATTTTCAATTGAATTTCGAAACTATTACGAGATTACATTGGTTTTGCTTCATTTCGCCCACTCATTGGTTCAAAGACTCGCGCAACTCTCTCGGTCAATCAGATGTAAAACTAAAGCCAATTAGGACTTGGTTTCACGACACTCAATACAAAAGTGCTTTACTGTTAAAGTTAAAACTTCTTCGTTGACACGTTACCGACGAACTCACCTGGTTGGAAAGGTAATAACCATCCTCTGGGTGCGACTGAGACCGTCGTAATTCAAATGAATCTTCCCACGACATTCCCCGCTCTACGCTTATCTAAATATGCAAAGGAGAAGAAAAGTTATTGACTCATAACTTGGGCTAAAGAAAGCGTGTCTAGAGGAGCTCATCCCGGATTCTGTAACATGAAGCGACTAGACGTAAACACTGCAGTCGAACGTTTGCGCATGTGCGAACGTTGGAATGACCAGGTGGCGTGCTTTTAGGTTGACAGAAAAAATCTCACACGAGTTACAAACAACCACACAGGCCAGTCAGTTGCGATGTTTAAGCAACCTTTTTTTGGAAAGCTGAAAACAGAACCTTACATCAATAGGATACCCATACTGGACCGTCGCATCTTTCCAATTCGTGTTTAAAATAAAAGATAATTGAAGAGAGAGGCAGCTTACTGTGTGTAATTCTGTGGTAGCTGTGCCCATAGTTGAATTACCAGCAAATGTTTGAACACTCAAGTTAGTCACAGCTTCACCATGAGCACCAAGGTCTGAAAAAAAACACGACCAAAATTATCAAAACTGCATTTCATGTTGCTGTGAGTACATTCAACAACGGATCAAAGATGACATCAAAGTGTAGCAAGAAGAAAAAAAAGTTGATACTTTATGACAGCTTTAAAAAATTCCAACGTTTTTGATTACCCAGAATTCCTTCATCCCACCGTCCACTTCTCTTGGCTTGTTGTACCACAACAGACAGTGTTTTCATGAAGTATGCGAACAGGTGGTTTTGAAGTTCAACTTCTACACCAAGGATTCGATTTAAAAACCGTGAGATGTTTGTGAAGTCTGATGAAAAAAAAAAACGGAAATGAAGACAAAAACAAATTAATCAAGTAACCCTTAAACCCGTGAAAGCGACTGCCATTTAATTTTTCCTTAAAAAAAATAACACCTCTGAATCAAACATCAGAGTCCTCCAAAGGAGGACATGAATGCGAACTCAAGAAGCCCTTGATTGTTAGCCAAATTCTCCTTCTTTTCCTTGTGAAAACAACTGAATGGAGAATTTGCATGTTGATGTTACCGTGTAAAGGTTTAATGGAGAGAGATACAGAAATGGTTAAGTGCCCTAAACCATAACATTACTGACCAGACCAGGGCTCGTACCCAGACTTCTTGATCCGTAACTCTTTCTGTGCCTAATGTTTTCGAACAAAGCCTGAGAAAGAAAGTTTCACCTTTATCCAAAATGGTCACGTTATTCTTGTCATCTTTGACCACAAGGCCCACACCGATCAGAGCTGTACGTACATCTGTTGTAAAAAGAACCAAAGTAAACGTAGATGTTAAAATTTGTCATGATCGAGAAACAAGAAAAACACTTGCATCGCCCTTGAAGATTATTAAAAACCCAGGCAGTTCCGAGCTTCAGTGACCTCGTTGGGACAAAGACTACAATCCCTGGCAAAAGAGCCTTAAATTGAAAAAACAAAACAAAAAAAAAACAAAACAAACAAACAAACAAAAACAAATCAAACAAAAAAACTCGTGCAGATAAAGGATACTTAATGTTCTGTGGTCCCATTTCCCCATACCCCCACTCAACTTTGACCTCCCTGGGTAATCAGCTTCGCTGTTAACATTTCCTTAGGAGGAGGGGGTGGGGAATGAGGATCTTCATCAAATATAACGGTGTTTCGTCATAATTATAGCGAAGTAAAAGGTAAGTGGCTTTGTGAGTTTTCGAAGGTGTTCCAAGGACTTGAAAAAAGGATGAAAGGATTTTCGAAACACGACTGAATATCGGTACATATAAACATACCTTGAAAAAACTCTCCTTTGTAGTCTTGTGGTGGTGGAATCGTTGGCGCACTCTGACCAGTGACAGCTTTTAAAACAGCTTCCAAAGCAGCCCTGCCATACTAGATATAAATACAAAAAGCTTACGTCAACTAATACTTAACAAGCCAATTTGTGACGCATTAGCGCCTCTTTTAATTGAGGGCCGTAAAACCAGAACCAAAGCGATAACAATGACTAACCAAAGGAAAGGTAGATATCATAAGGGCCAGTAAGACAAGAGTAAAGACTTGCAAACTGCCTGAAGCGCGGGAAAATGAGAGCGATAGAGGCGCGATTGGATTAAGTCCAGCATGTGATTGGTTGAGAAGATGGCGTGAGATTTCCGGACCAATCACAATCCGTGGGGAAGTAAGACCAAAACAACGTTTACTAATAGAAAAAAGAATCGCGAGGGATTGATGAGCGGCTACTGAAAAGGGCAAGTACAGCGAGGCATTAACAGAAAACATTAAAATTTACCTTGTTGTCAATATTGTATCTGCTTAAATCTTGTGATTCTGTAGCTCGTCGATCTCCGTGAGTAAGAGCTCCCTGAAACGCAATTTTTTTTGCATGATATCAACCCTTTCATTCTCAAGAACTAGATCTAAATTCTCTGCACGATCTGCCACACATTTCTTAAAAATTCTTGCACTGAAAACTTCATATTCAATCAAACAACTGTGCCTTATTGATGTTTTTCTTTCCTCTCATCGCTTATCTGCTTGTCAAGGTAGTTACATGTATATTGTAAGAAATACCAGGAGAGAAACAGTTAAGTTAGCGCCCCCACCACCACAAAAAAAAGGGAAAACGACTCTTAGGGAACTCATGCTAGCAAAAACATGGCCTCGCGTTAAAAATTAAATAAAAATTAAAGAAAAGAAGGTCTACAGTAGAGCTGAACTGGTAGTACTTAATCATGGCTATGAATGGCCGTTTTTATGCTAAAGACGTTAAAGTTGTCTAAGACGTTAAAGTCATCTCGAGACGACTTTAACGTCTTAGACAACTTTAACGTCTCAAGCATAAAAACGGCCATTATCATTCTGAAAGCTATCGAATTCACGTTGTGCAGCTTACCAAACTCTCTAGCCTCTTGGCTACAATGGAAGCAAAACGTCTTTCTCCAGCCAGTTCAGATATTAAAAACAGGTACTCTGGGGCGCTCACTTGATTGGACCGATGAGATCGACCTGCAGATCATTATTAATATTATTATTATTATTATTATTATTATTATTATAACATTATTAATGACAACAATAATTTCATTCAGATCGAGTATTATTTCAGTCTCCGCCTTTAACAACAGTTGAACGATCCTTTACCGAACTGCTGAATTGCTTTGTCTGCACTCCACGGTAGTTCAAGAGTGATGTGAACGCGTCTTCGTTGATTCTGAAACAAAGAAGACATGGAAAGTCTATCAAAATCAATTTTTTCCGGCTAACATGCATTTATACTATCTTTTCCCTCAATCAGCAACTCGTTCTGTCAGCGGAAATAATTAAACTGACACAAATGACTTTTTTCCCCTCTCGTCAATCGCCAGAAGGAAAGTTGACAATAAGCCATTAAGCAGAAAGGAGAATTCAAAATTGCTAATATTTCCAAACGAAAGTTTTAAATGTGAGTAATACACGTATCAACAGAATGTACATAATGGTCCCTATTACACTGTTCAAATGTTAACTTATGGCCGGATAATTTTAAATACCTTGGCTCTCCTGTCTGCCTGTAAAGAAATGCCTGAGCTGGCAGCTTCTGAGATAATTGCGATGCTCTAAAAAACATAAAAAACTTTAAGATATAACATACTTGTGTAAACAGCAATTTCTTACCAACTGTTTGAAGTAGTCCGGGATTGCACTGGTTTTCCTTCACTACGCTTTATGATCAGGCTAATTAATATACAGAACTAAAACCAATCACGACCTGGTTCCTCGCCTCTTTCCTTCCCGCGCTTCAAGTCAAATTAAGTTTCCCAAAAGTTGACGGGAAACATTTTCCATCACCGACGTATATCACTAACTGTAACATCATACCTTCTGTCCATCCATGAATCTGTTTTTCTCAACAACGTTAATAATCTCTAAAGGCACATCTTGTTTGCTTCTTGATTGGTAGCTTACGGTCCCATCTTCATTACTCACAACACGACCTTTTCTTCCCGTCATCTAAACACAATAAAACTGTGTCACACATCTCATTTACGTATAATTGATAATTGAACTGTATTTTGAGAAAGTATTTAGTTGTTGCGAAAGATTCGTCAAACTGTGATAAGAAAAAAAGGTGACACACAAGCCGCAGCCGAGAGAACCACTGATATTTTTACTACTTCTGTGACCGACTCACCTGAAATTGAATATATTTGTTTTAGAAAATAAAGAAGCAAAAAAAAAAAATGTTTATGATGACGTCAGCTATGCGTCTATCCTCCAATAGATAATGGGTAGGGACCAATCAAAATGCGCGCATAATTCATAATTCATTAAAAACCTTACAGCTTCTCCTACACTAAATTGTAAAGGAAACATGGGTGTATATGGCGCATGCAAACAAATAAACCAGTAAAACTCCTGGGCACAGTTGTTCGTAGGCTGATTAGTGCTAACCAAGGGTTAAATTGTGATCTCGATTTCTTTATCCCTTTGTTCAAAAGCCTTTCTTGGATAATTTTCTCTCTTCTTCGAAGGACATTCAATCATCAAATTATAGATGAAAAGAATTGTATTGGATTGTCTTTCAAAGCTTTCACATCTGAAATCAGATTTTCCACTACTCCTGGGTTATCTTAACCCAGCTTTGAACAATGAAAAACCCGACCCTGGACTTTACACCCTAACATCAGTATGCATCTTCTCCATACTGTTTCCTATACATTTCCTTGGGTGCTGACAAGGAGAACTTGTTGATCAATCAAGGGAATATTTAGATGGTGATCATTTCCTCTACTCTCATGACCTTACTGTGTGATGCAGGGGTTATACTGTTGGGAGAAATTAGATGCTAATCACTCTCATGGGTTAGAGGGTTCATGAAAGGCCCTCAGCAAACAGGACACGTGGTCAGATGAGGCAATTCAATCTACTCACCTCTGCAACATTGTCTGGCCCACCCAGCTCATCTATAAGTTCATCTAAAGTGTTTGGAGGGAGACATTTGGACAGGACATCAAGCTTATCAAGTAACTCCCTTTTCATTGCTCTGCACATATCTGCAGCAGAGTTTGCCAGTGGTCCTGGGCTATTTGCTGCAGTTAAACTAGAAAAAGCTGGCGCACTCGCGGAATGATGTAAAGTCTTCAGTCCACCTGCAGATGAAGGCAAGCGTGTTATTACAAATTATAAAATAATTCAAATAGTTCGCGCGCTCTGATTGGCCATAAAACCATTTTACACGAGCGTATGTAAACACGGTTTTCGTTCCTCTTTCATTAGTTATTTTATAAAAGAAATGTAAAATAGTTTCCGTGTTTACATAGCCTGATGTAAACACGGAAACCATTTTACATTTCTTCATTGATCAACACATTGCTTATGTTGGTTATAGTTTGAGGTCTGAGAAGACAAGAGCAAAAAAAACATGATTATCACATATGAATTTCGCCTATGGCCTTGCTCATTATACCTTGCTCATTATAAAGTTCTCTGAGGCCAAGTGGAAGAGCAACATCCAAATGATTGAGACTCGAATCCTAATAGGGACTCAAGGCAGGTTGCTTGTTTTCATTTTGAGTTCTCGTTGGCTCGCTCCTTGCGATATTTTGTCTTACGATTGGATGATTACTTTGATATTGGCATTACGCCACTCGATTGAAAAGCATTCTATTTTCCTTTCTTTTCCAATTTGCCATTGCGATGACCACTTTACAACATTTAGTTGAACTGCGCTCAAACAATAAAAGCTAATTACCAGCTGGGTTCCACGAATGCTGGCTCTCCAGCCCATTAGGCTGTTTTGTTCTCTGTCCAGGTGTGCTCCATGGGAGACCACCCACTTTAAGCCCGGCAGCTGCCAGAGCATTGTAACTTGAGTCAGGACTACCTGTCTGTGATTTGTTTTTCGAAGACTTCCGAGACTTTCGATGCAGCCATGGGTCTAAATATGAAAATAAGAGGTTAAGCAAGTTTATCTCATAGCACTGATAGCTTCACTATACAAACACAGGCTTCTTACAGCCACAGCAAAGCTTTTAACCTTCCATCATCTCTCTTTAACCCCTCACACCTTAATATCAGAATCTAAATTCTCCATACTCTTCTCGATACGTTTCCTTAGTGCTGATTAGGAGAATTTGTTTAACAATCAAAGCTTCTTAGGTTGGCGATCATTTCCTTTATTCTCATTATCGTAATAAATGATTCACCAGTATTGCTGTAAAGAGAAATTAGATGCTGGTCACTCTTTGGGTTTAAAGATTGTGTTTTTTTTTACAGGCCTCTGTTCACAGCTAATTCAAAGGTAAATGTTCATTGTGTACCGATGTGAACCAGGAAAACTGAAACAAGCATAGCTTGTAAAAAACAGCAATTGAGGTGTGAAATAAGAATTAAAACATCTCTCATTACCAATACCAATACAGTTTTGTTTCTCTCGATCACAGTTGCCAGCTGCAACCCTTTTCGGAACTCCCCCCAATACAGACCATCTCAGGATATGTTTGGCCGTTTCCCTTAGGCTCAGACCATTGACTCTATTATAACAAAACACTGTACCTTCATCATCTGATCCTGACACACCAAACGGGTTAGAATCATCCTCCTCTTCTGCTGCTGAGCTGTTGCAAGACTCTGCTGCACCATCATTCCTGCCGTTGTTTTTATGAACGTTGAACAATTCATTCTCACCATTGCTCTTCTGACTTTCGTCTGATTCACTATCAGAGCCACTACTCACTTAAGAGAAAAAAACAGCAAAAAAAAAAATTAATCAAATGTACTTAAACGCGTGACATAACTGGGCAGAAGAGGTTTGTTAAGAGAATGCACAAGTATCTACAACATTACAAA